AGTGCGGGATCGGGCCCTGCTTGACTGACTGCAAAGCACCCTGGGCCCAGGGCCTGGGACCCCCGGGACTCCCCGGCACTTCTGACCCCGTCCCCTTGGTGCCTTTCATCCTCCCCCAGTACCTGTGCCCCTCAGCTGGTGCCTTTCATTGTGACACACCGCCCCCCCACCTTTAACCCTCCACAGACCTTCAGACCCGGTACTTATGACCCCCCTCCCCGTTCCTGTCACTCCCCCCAGTAGCTGCTGCCATCCCCTGGTGCCTGTCACCCTCATCCCTGGTACCTGCGACCCTCAACCCCTGTTCCTGTCACCTGCCCCCTCCCCGTCCCTGTGACCCTCAGCCCTGATACTTGTGACCCTCCCCGGTACCTGTCGTCCTGACCCCCAATACCTGTCGCCCTGACCCCCCAGTGCTGCGCAGCCCAGCCCTGCATGCTGGTAGCTCTCCCCCCAATCCTTCCCCAGCCGAGGGCAAGGGGTGGTCTCTGCTGCAGGGCCCCCCATAAGAAATGAGATCTCCCCCTCGTAAGATTTGAAAATCATAACCGGGGGGGGGGGCTCTGTTTTTATTAGCCTTTTACAAAGACTGTGATGGGCAGCTCAATTTTTTTTGTAGATCCCACCCCTCCAAGAGTCAAGGTGCAATTCAAACCTTGGTAGTCCCCACCACTTAAAACTAAGGAGGGGCAATTATTTGGGCCTGAGGGCCACTTCAGGAGTTTTGGGGAGCAGCTGCAGGTCAGCCCCTGCCCTCTGCCAGTAGCTCACCAAGACTCTCAAAATGGCTCTGCCCCAGGTCCTGCACTGTCACCACCCCGTGATCCCACCCTGCGAGCCCCTCTCGTCACCTGTCCTGTTCCTGGATGCTGCTCCCTGCTGCCCATAGCCGCATCCCGTCCACTTAGCTATGCGCCATACCTGCATACATCCTGCCTCTGGTGGTGGGTGCGAGGCAGACAGGAAGGGGTTCCTGGCAGCAGAGCTGGGTCTGGCAGTGGTGGCAGCTGGAAGGAGCCACTGCCTTTGTGGCAGCTACCAGGAAATGAGTCTGGCCACCATGCCACCCCAGCACCACTGTGCACCCAGGGGTGGTGAGACTGGCCACATGTGCCACAGCTTGGGCTGCCCCCCCATACCTGGGCTGAGACCTGCTAAGGGACCTGCTGCAGCCTGGACAAAATCCCTCGGCTGGCCAGATTCAGCCCATGGGCTGTATTGTGCCCCTCCCTTGGTTTAGACATTGGACAGTCCTGGCTATCAACATTTTAAGTTGAGTGTTGCTCCAAGTAGCCCCTCTTGCCTACGTGCGACTATAAGCATACATTGTGGACTGACAAAACACAGAGAAGGTATGAGTATGAACATCATAGGAGAAAAATGTAAGTGTGCTATGTGGACCAAACCAGAGCCACAGCTGATGAGATGTCTACAAAATAACAGAAAAAATGAGTGGACTAAACATCTGACACTTTGTAACAGTCAATGATAGTCTGGGTGTTTTGGAGAGCAGTATGCAGCAGGCAGAACAGCTGGGCTTTGTTCCTGGCTCTGCCACTGATGGTTGGGATCTTGGATGAGTTACAAGTCCCACAGTTTACCCATTTATAACTGGGAATAATAAAACTTGGTTGCCGCAGGGTGGGTTGTATAAGGGATAATCAGTTGAAAAGGTTGCAAGATCATCAGAAAAAAAAACGTAAAGGCATACTGTGTTGTTAAGCTTATGTAACTATGTAATATGGAAATACATTAAAATACATGGATATTAGAATGTATGGCAATATGCATTCAGCATATAAAGCCCCTATTAGAATAACTTCTCTTGTGGTAAGAGAAAGGTCAGCATGAATGCATTTCCAGCTGAAGTCAGGCTGCCATAAAGGAAGAAAACATTGCTAAGAGAAGCCATGTCTGAGCTTCTTCCCCACTCCGCTGATCATGGCCTTGAAGTGCTGTGTTCAAACAGGTGGAAGAAATTCCATGGCAAATGGCAGTGCTACAGTATAGCCATATTTCCTATCTAGACATTTTTATCCCACCTTGCTTGAAATTTCCATGTTTTTGTTTCTTTTTGAGACGTACATTTGAGATAAACACTTAAGCCTAATTCAGTCTTTCTATAAGAAGGTGTAGTTCTGCTGAAGAAAATGCAGTTGTAGACTTCAAGGCTTAGAAACAAAAACAGGAATAGAGGGGTACTCCTGGACCACTGAGCCCAGTCTCCTGCTATTGTAGGCAACCATGTCATATAATCCTTTTCATAAACTGATAAAGCCCTATCTAGGTCAGGTTTATAACTTGTAATTGAAATGCTAGCTCTGTTGGTGAAGGGCGCCTCTGTTGACAATTTTTTAAATCTCTGGATTAGAAAATACACAGGTTAGATAAACATTTGTGCAGGTTAGACAAAGATTTGTCTAGAATGATTAGATAGGGATGATCCTGTCTTGGGCATGGGGTTGGACTAGATGACCTCCCAAGGTCCCTTCCAGCCCCATTTTTCTCTGATTCAGCGATACTCCCTGGTTACACTATTTAGATTGAAGGATACCAAGTCAACAACCTGAGGATTTTACTTCTAACTTTTAAAATTTCCCTCAAACTTACTGTGAGTTTGATTTTGCTTTATTTGGTTGAAACCAGCATCAAGAATGAATGCAATCTGGGTCACTTGCACAAGCCTTATTTAAAAAAAAAAATGACAAAGGTAATTTAAATATAGTCATCTATTTATCTGTTGCTGCTACGTGTTTTCTGTTCCCTAGTACCTGTGCAAGGATTCAGACAGTGGTACCAGTATTATTTTCCTATTTTAAGGGGTTTCATTCTTTCTAGTGATAAGTGACCCTCAAACTATTCAGAGACCCAGGGCCCAACCCAGCTCCCACAACAGCTGATGCAAAGAACTTGGACTAAGCAAAGAGACAATTACTTTACCTTATGAAAATTTCTAAAGACTTCCCCAAGCCTTGGCTGGCAGGTCAGCAGAGACTGTACCTTACAAAAGAGTGCAGAAAGGGAAGACATTGTCCCTGGAGCAGAATACTTAATTCTTTATTCATGGCAAAACAGTTCTGCAGTACTATTCATTCTGAACTGTCCCATGACATAGCCTAGCCTTATATGCTTGAATAAATCTCCTCGGAAACCATCTTGTTAGCAGCTGGATCTTGATCACATCTGTTAACTATATGCTTATATTGAACATAATCACACACAAAGTCATTTTCCTTTAAACACTTGGAGATTAGTATTTAAAAGTGCTGTTATGGCAATTATAGCAGAGTGTGGTGGTGCTGGAATGCAGGATACAGGAACATGATACCAAGTGTTGTAACAGCCTTTTACAATAGGAGAGAAGTTATCTTTATCACATTGGGATTAAATCATCTTGATCAAATGTTCTTTTTTAACAGCAATGTATGGTAATGTGTTGAATTTAAGTTTGGTTTATGCATAGAAGTTTGGTTTATGCATAGATTTTATTTTCACTGTGGAGTTAAGTTAAAGTTGCTAGTTTTTGTTCACACAACCAGATTAATTATTTCAGATACTGAACATTATTATTCTTTGTATTTAATGACAACTAAAATGCATGTATACAAACCAAAGAGTTTTAAAGTCTAGATAGCCAATTCTGTAAACCTTTACTCTCATGAGAAAGAATAATTGTAATGAGGGATGTCATTAAACCACATCAGGCAGAGAACTGTCCTCTGCTGTGATGTGTAAGGAAAGTTGACAACAGTTAGGCTGGCATCATAACCCAGCAGCAGCCTATCATGGTGAACAATCCTTTCCCATACTTCCCTAACTGGCTGTAGCCATTTATTGTGTCATCCTTTTCTTAGGTTGTAAGCTAAGATTGGCACATAACTAGTGCACTATAGTAATACAAATAATCAAAAGCACTAAATAATAATCAAGGTACAACAACAGTATGAAGTCTTCTCTGTATTTTTCCTAATAAAGAGATTACAGCTGAAATATTGCCTGTATTTACTTCTTGGCTCAGGAGTTCAGGGGTTATATGAGCAAAAAATTGATCCTTATAGCATGCATGTTAGAATCAATGATTCCCTCTCATATGTACTTTACATCTATTCAAACCCACAGCATCAAAATGAAACCGTTTAAAATGCTGGCCTCATGATCTTTACAGATACATTGTCCAAATAAGGAAGATATTATTGTTTGCAGTTTAGTTTTTTCTAATACCAATGTTTCTATTGTCTTCTTATTTCTTCCATTAGCCCTTCTGGTTGGGCTGTTGCAACTGTGAAAGGCTGACCTGACTGTTCTCATTTGTTATTGCAGCATATAAACCTATCAACATATGTTATGCTGCAACTGAAGGAGGCATGAAAATTTAATGATTTGCTTTATTTATAGGACTCTGCATGGTGAAGATGCCCAACCATGGAAAACACGTTGAAATAGTGGTCCAGCAGCTTAACAAATTTAATCCTGAAAATCAGAGTATGGATCATTTTTTGGATGAGTCGACTAAGGTTTTGCAGGTACATTAAATGCCAATTTGCCCTATATGACTTTCAGAGTTCTGGTGTGAGTTTGCAGATGAAAACTGTCTTTTGTTCTAATGCAGCTTTTTGAAACGCATGGAATTTTCTTATGTATTTTATAATGTTCACCTCTAATTAGAGTGACTAGATCTTCAAACCCCAAACTAGGGCAACTGTCTTAAAGATATCACTAGTTTCAAGGAGCTGAGGGTCAGAGGGTTTGGACAAAACATTACTTTGGATGTTAAATGATGATAGATTGTATTTTATGCTCTTGGAGCTGAAGATGATACTAGTGGTTGAGAGGTAGTGAGATAGTCTTTCAGTCACACAAATCCTAAGTGAAAAGAGAAGACTGCTTGTGTGAGAGGGATGATGATTGACAGATTAAGTCACATGGGACAGTTTCATGGTCAGGAGCATCTGGCATGTCATCTTGGGTTGCAATGAGAACTTGCACTTGGTGGATATACCTATCCACCACTTTCCTGTCTATTCTGATCTAGACTTCTTTTGGAAATCTCTGGCTCCCATTTTCAATACTACTTCCATGTTGGGCAAAATGTGCCACCTGCCAGACAGCCTTCTACTTCCCTATTGTTCTGCCTCAGGTTGCAGATTGTACATCTGCTTCAGATTGCATGCCCTCACAGGAAGGGAAGAGGATCAAACAACACAGAGAAGAAGCTAAGGTTATATATAAAAAAAAAATTGTTGCAGCTTCAGAAGAGGAGGGAGCTGCTACTCACAAGCCCAGCGTGCATGAGCCTATAGCAGGTGTGTTCAGTCAGCCTGTGGCCCAGATCCAGCCCCCAGCACCATGTTATCTGGCTTGTGTGGCTCCCCATGGGCCATGGCCCTCCACATTAAATCGCAAGTCCCAATTCCAGTACATGGGGGGTGGGGCAGGGACTGATCCTGGCACATAGGGCCAAAAGGTTGAGTGGGACTGACCTGTAGCAATACATATGAACTAAATGACCCCAATTTTTACTGTGGATGGAGTAGGGTTATGTTAGAATATTGCTACAGACTCACACACCCTAACAGTTACAGCATAATAGCTGCTGTGCATTCCTAAACAGCAGCTCCCCTTCCTTTCAGCTACCTATACCCATTTGTCCATACCCTGAGATTGAGGAAGGCTGTTGTGCCCGACTTCAGCAGTAAGCGAAGAAAATGGTAGACAAGTTGGAGAGAATCTAAACATCCTTTTGGCCAATCCAATTTGAAGAAGATCAGTTGGGATATTACATATTTTCCAGAACCAGAATGCATGGACATCCTATAACACCCAGCACTGCTGTTCTTAATTGGGCAATACTCCAGCTGGCTCAATAAGTGGCAGTTGTTCTCCACAACCAGGCAGCTAAGAAAGTCATTTCCACCTCTGTAAAATCAGTACAAAAATACTGCCATTCTAATCCGAAAGTCTTTGTCACCAAATTTACAGAGGTGTCATATATGACACAGGGTACAGATCTATGGCAATCATGTTCAAGGAGCACTGAGAATAAGTCCAGTAGGTAAGTACAACTAGTTAGTTTTGTTTGTCACTTCATTTGACTACTTAAATATTCAAATGCCTAGTTTCCTAACCCTAGATGTGCTCTGGCATAGGGGCCAAAATTTCCACTATTAGGCTTGCCATGAGTATTGCAGCAAGCTCCTTTTAGCAATCTGGGTGGTAGACATCATGAGGCAAATTGTGCTTTTATTTACACCCAAAGAGGCCCATTTAAATCACTGCCATGCAGTTATACCACTGTAATTGAGAACAGATTTTGGCACTGAAATTGTAGACTGTTAAATTCTTTTCAAGGCATTTACTTCACCTGTGAAATATGTTGTCTCAGATTAATTTTGATGGTAAGCTTCACTTGAGTAACATTAGCTGTTTTCTTCAGATAGCCAAGAGTAATGCAGTTTAAATTATCTAGTCACTACTTTGAAGGAGTTGAAAGAGGATGGAAAGTGTCTGTCAACACCACTGTATAGCTGTTCACACTGATTTAATATCCAGATTATTGTTTCTTAACCCAGAACTTAACCCTCTCAGTAGCCTAGGATGTGTCACCATAGAATCAATGCCTTTGATTACTCACTTCTCAAGAAAAGCTTCCTTGACTTTCATTCTTTTGCTGCAAAAGTCACTCTGATTTTCCTGTCTATATCCTCCCTTTTGTGCACTTTAATTTCCCCCTTTCCCATTAGTACTTCAGCTGTCATCTTGTCCCAAAAATAAGATTCATTTTTATATTTAACCCCTCCCCCCAAAAAACACCCCTCTCAGTAGCCTAGAATGTGTCACCATAGAATCAATGCCTTTGATTACTCACTCCTCAAGAAAAGCTTCCTTGACTTTCATTCTTTTCTTTCCTCTCATTTTGCATAATACGGCTCTGACGAGTAAGAAAAAAAGTATTGCTAGCTCCCACATATGTGATTTCTCCCTGCTCGTATGTTACTTGTCACTGGTACTATTTTATCAATGTCATATAATTCATGAAAATCAGGATTAAAATATCTCCTCCTTTATTTTCAGTTAACCCCAAATTGATATCGTACATGCTCTTTCATTACAAATACATTCTTCCTGTAAGTCAGCATTTAAAGCTTCTGGCTGCTATAATAAGGACTAGTGGAAATCTTACTATGTTTTTAGTTTCCTAGCTTCTCTGGATGTCTTTGTTGCCAGATGTCTTTACTAGGGAAGGAGTGTGGTAAAGATTGGCAGGCAGAAAAACAATAAATTTGCTGAGTGCCTGTTGGCAAATCACTTAATTTCCTTGTGTGTCAGTTTACTCACACTGGGCACAGGAATACTCAGCAAAGAATAAGGCTAGTAGGTAGGTACAACTTGTTGATTCTAATGGAAGTGACAATCTCAACAGAAGATTAGACCATTCAAAATTCTGCATAATTCATATAGAACAGACAAAATTTTGGAATCAGTTATTCAAATGGAATCCAGAACAGTTCAATTTACCTTAAGATTGTTATTCCAGATTTATAATGGTAGGTCTGGGAACAGCATTTGGCCCTGTATTTGTAATGTACTTGTACAATACTGCTGGTACAAACACAATTTTACCTGGTTTAATTGTTTGCTTCTAATTTATATTTCATTGTATTATTCTGCAGTGTACTAGGAAATGCAGAACATGAATGGAACATAAAGTATGCCTTTATTAGATTTACTGCTTTCTACCATATATTCTGGAATCAATGTCATTGCACCAACTTTGCTTTGATAATGATTTAGCCTTGCATCAGCACTTGGAAACATTATTTTAAGAATCATTATTATTATTAATATTATAGTACTTCATAGTACTTATGAACCTTAAGTGTGGATGAGGACTTGATTCTTCTAGGTACTGTAGAAACAAAACAAAGACCATCCATGTCCCAAACTACCAACAATCTAAGTATAAAATAAGCGACAACAGATGGATACAGACAGAAAATACTGAAACACTAGATCACTATATCAGCCTGATAGACAGTTGTATCAGCACAAGTGTGCCCTAAACACTGTCAAGGCTGTAGGGACCATGAGTTTAAAAGGAGAGATTTGAAGAAGAACAGTGGGAGTAAATTGCAGGTATTTCCAGGGCAGTCCTCCCAAGCATAAGCAGCACAATGGGAAGGGGCTTATTTGAAGATGCAACAAATGAACATGGGCCAGTCAGAGATGACATCTCAACAGCGAACAAGAGATTTAAAAAAGTGTACATATATAGAACAGAAACAAGCCTAGAAGGATGTTGACATTGAAGACAAGGAATTTATATTTAACAAAAATCAAGGAGGAGGAACCTAGTGGAAGCAGAGGCGGATTAACGCACAGGCCCATGGGGTGCCTGCCAATCAGGGGCCCCCTGAGTGCTTGTGTTTCCTCTGGAAATGGCAGGTTTCCCCTTGCAGACAGACAGTATTCTAGCAGCCGCACGAATGCACATGGCCAGGAAAAGAGTTAGGCAGACTAGACAGCAGCTCCTTGCAAGTAAGTCTATGGAGGGATAGGGAGAGGGTAGCAGGGGACAAATTGAGGCCTTCATGGTGAGGGAGGGAGTGGGGCAGGGCGGGGGGTGCTGCCCAGCTAGAGCAGTACATGGGATCCAGGGCCGGGCCAGGGAGCAGGACGGAGCCACAGGTGGCTTAACTAGAGGGCGTGGGGGGGTGACTCCCCATCACTGCGTGCACCCCCCAGGGAGGCATGGGGGGGCATGTGTCCCCCTAGATTTGTGTGTAAAGCAAATTCAGGCTGCTTGCTGTGGGCTCAGGGCTCTCAGCTCTGCTGCCTTTGCTGCAGGAGCCCTGCGCTGGCTGTGTTCCCCCTGCCCACCCAGCAGCAATGGGGGTGGCAAGCTGTGCCCCCTGCTGCCAGGCAAGCACGGAACACACAGCCAGCATGGGGCTCCCAGGGCAAAGGCAGCAGGGCGGAGAACCCCAAGCCCACAGCAAAGTAGCCTGCACCTGCCCTCACCCCACTTGGCTTTGCTCCGGTGATGGAGTGGGGAAGGGATGGGCAGCAGGTAGGAGAGGCAGGCATGTACCACCCCACCCGAGTCCCGCCAGGTCCATTCAGCCTTGCCCGCAGGGCACAGAGGCCCTTCCTGCCTTTGGCACTGGCAGCACCAGGAAGGGAAGAGGGCCCTCACCACCACTGGAGTCCAGCTCCCGGGGCCTAGCTGCAGGGGAGGAGTAGCATGATATATGTGTTTATAATGGGGTGTGAGAGGCCTCCAATTTTTTGTTTGCCCAGGGCCCCAAAAAATCTTAATCCACCACTGAGTGGAAGGCTATGAAGAGAACTTCAAGCAATAGGCTAGAAAATCAGTGGAACAATATACTTGGGACAAGATTGTATTTGTTAAGGCCAGAGGAAAAGATATTACTGTAATTGAAACAAAAACATTCATCTAGGCTCTCATCATCTTATTAATCATACGGATAGGAAAGAACATATTTTAGGACATGTTAAGCAAAGA